AAAAAAGTTTCCCGAATTTTGCCAGTGTCCGATTTTTTTGGGGACATAAAGGACACCCCAATATTGCCAAAAATACATAAAACTAATTTGTTGCAGTTAGTTTTAGGTTTGGCTATTTTTTTACGTAATTTGATTAGCCTATATTGACGTACATGAACATTCTACGTTTTTTTTTTAGTTAAAACAACTATCGATATAATATGTATAAATATAGATTTGTTCCAATATATACTAAAGATACATGGTTGTGAAAAGTAAATCTTCTCTTACTAAATACTCGTCGAATTTATTTAAACAAATTTAAGTATTTAAAAACATCAAGTTATATGAATGCATAACCACGGACTTTATCCAATTCCGTGTACAATATATAATTTTAAAATTAAACTTAGTCCCGTACAATTGAATAGATTCTTGATATATGAAATCCATTTAAAATCAGCGAAATCATTTTCATGTAAATTCAGCATAAGCTTGTACATTATACTAGACACTTTATTTTCACCCGTAATTTGTTTATACCAAAACATTATCATTCTAGATTTAATTTCAATATTCAGAGGGTACCTACCCGTTTCACCATATACCATTATATTTGCTGCGGAGCTACGTATGTTTAAAATTCTTTTACAAAACCGTACATGTAATTTCTCAATCATATTGGTATTATTACTGGATATATTTTCAAACCCGAAAACTTCTGAGGAGTACAAAAGGATTGGGAATATTAATACACCAAACAATTTTAATGGTAGGTCAATTGGTAAAATAATATTTCTTATTTTTTTTTTATGTAATGCATACATTGCTTTTTGAGCCTGTTCAACAAGTTTTTTTCTTGCTTTACAGAAACTGCCATTATAATGAAACAGCAGTCCTAGAAACGAGTAGCTGTCATGTGTTTGCAACTCTTCACCAAAAAGAGTAAAACGAATATTTTATGCAATTACTTTTCCTTTTTTTCAAAGATAACAACTTTAGTTTTATTGAGATTAACTTTAAGTTTCCAAATAGTACAGTAAGTAAAGCATTCTGTAGACCTTTAGCTGTTTCTGACATAACAATTAACTGTGTCATCTGCTTAAAGGACGTTGAACTAACAGAAAAGATAAACTTTGGCAGAATGAAAATCTTTATTATAATTATCGGGCAAATATAATCAACAATGAACTTTAAATTTAAATTCTATAATTATTTAATTTTTGAGCTCAGTGTAGTACGTGGAGCTATATCGGCTCCTGTATTGGAAACTATAAATGTATTCACTTTATCTTTAGCTACATGTAACAGTAACACATGTCCGACCGTGGTTAACTGTATCGATTTTTTTTTATATATTTACTTCTTTAAAAAGTGTCATTAAATTAAAGATGGTATGCTGGTTTTTTTCAACGCACATAGAAGTAGACACGTGTGTACAGGAAGTACTGTGACGTATAATTAAGGTTAAATATAGCAAAGGGTATTTCCGTGTGAACCGAAACCGGAAGATGCCTAACGTTTCTTCTATGCAGGTAATTATTTACAAAGATGTACTTCCTTGTAACAGTACACCTATTTTACATTAAGTAACATTTTTATTCCATATTACACATGTTACAATATACTAATAGCGGGACAATGTCATCCAAAATAGCAATTTGAGAATTTTTTTACTTTCGTTTTGGATTCCTACGTTCAACTTCAGGCACACTTGTAATAAGAATTAATTGAATATCCAGTGGGTTTTTTTTGTAATCGAAGGGAAATACTCGTCCCCTTTAAATATTTATATCTGTCTAATACAATAGTACCAGTATATAGTACGTAGTAGTGTGCTTCCACGAAGGATTAAATCTGTGAACCCCAGCTTCCCAATCCCCCTCTCTGGATCTACTGATTGAGCTAAAGGGAAATTCCCTACAGCATGAAGCTTATTTTAAGAAGGCGACCATAATCCTATGTACAACTAAAATCTGACACATAAACGATTGGAGGACTATTTCTAATAAATTGATGTTACTACACAATAACCCTCACAAACCCAAGATGGACACTGATAGACTAGCTACCTGGTCGCTAACAACAACCCAGTCCATATCTGCTTCATTCCCGCGTCTGTTTTCTACATATGTAGGTCATACCCCTGAAGAAAACATTTTGGTTCCCCGGATCTGGTCCAGTATTTGAAACAATTGTTGGCTAAGGGGTACAGACATTTGGTAAGCCGATCGTTTCAGTACCAAGTTGTTTCAAAACGTGTAAAAGCCTTTCTAATTCTAGCCAGACAATCTAAAAATTTATCTACCTGAGGTCACCAATAATCAACATAGTCCAGTTCCGCAACAGAAATATAAACATACCAAATTATTGTCATCAGCGATATACACTTAAACATTTTTTTTATCAATTTGTTTAAAGGTAATTTATACAGCAGTTAATTTAAGAGAATAAGCATCTATTAGAATGTGTCAACATTTTAAAGTAACAACATGCTAAAATAATGTTTACGCTGAGCCTCGCCTGGTTTTTGGTCAAATGTTATACATAGAGAATAATACATACCTTTTTCCATAACACACCCAGTATCAACCCTCGACCAATATCAGCCCTCAGGCTGATATTGCAGTCTCGGGTTGATACTGGGTGTGATATGGAAAATAGTTTTATTCTGTTTATAACATACTTGCTAATAAAAGCTACCATCTTATGATCAAAAGGGGTGTGATACAGGTTTTGCTGGCTGATACATGTTTTGGGGTGTGATACAGCGGGGGTTGATACAGGTTTTGGGGTGTGATACGGCGGGGGGTTGATACAGGTTTTGCTGGCTGATACAGGTTTTGGGGTGTGATACGGCGGTGGTTAATACAGGTTTTGGGATGTGATATGGCGGTGGTTGATACAGGGTTTGGGGTGTGATACGGCGGTGGTTGATCCAGGTTTTGGGGTGTGATACGGCGGTGGTTAATACAGGTTTTGGGGTGTGATACGGCGGTGGTTGATACCGGTTTTGGGGTGTGATACGGCGGTGGTCGATACAGGTTTTGGGGTGTGATACGGCAGTGGTTGATACGGGTTTTGGGGTGTGATACGGCGGTGGTTGATACAGGTTTTGGGTGTGTGATACGGCGGTGGTTGATACAGGTTTTGGGGTGTGATACGGCGGTGGTTGATACAGGTTTTGGGGTGTGATATGGCGGTGGTTGATACAAGTTTTGGGGGTGTGATACGGCGGTGGTTGATTCAGGTTTTGGGGTGTGATACGGCAGTGGTTGATACGGGTTTTGGGGTGTGATACGGCGAGGGCTGATATGGGTTAGAGCAATTGTGTCGAAAAAACCCATATTTATTAGTAAGTATGTAAAAAAATTGTATATCAAACCATATAAACAGTATCTGTTGTATTCATTCTTTAACCAATTATTCTATTAATAAATGCATTTCAATTTTGCAGGGATTTTGTTGCCTGGATGAAACAGATTTTGGCAAGAGTTATTAATGTTTTGCCTGATGTGTAACAACTTCAGAGATTGGACTAAGTAAAGATGGTGAAAATTCATGTGACATTGTTAATGAAGATATGACTTGATTATGGTGAAGATGTTGATGAAGATGTGACTTATAGAGGCGATGGAGATTGATCTAATATGTTGTTGATGAAGATGTGACTTAATTGAAGTGATGAAGATTTCATCTGATAAAATTATATTTATGAAGATGAGACTTGTGAAAACTGTAAGATATGAATGAATGAAATTTTGAAAACATCATATTAACTTGACAAAGACAAGTGTGAAAGTCTTCTTTTAGAAGTTTTAAACGCAGCAGAAAATATGGCGTCATTTTCCTGCAAGTACAGCACAGCAGCAGAGATAGAGACTCTGGATTTTGTTGAGTGTATAGAGATAATGGAGGAGAATGGCCTCCCTTACAGGGGTACAGAGGAAGTAGAAGATCTAAGGAAAACCATCTTCAACCTTTTACCAAAACCAGCTGAGAGTGTTTCCGAAACAGAAAAGGGATTAAACCTTGATGACAGCACAGATTCCGAAACCAAAGAAAAATCTGATGAAAATACGCTTTCTGAAATGGAACATAAACAGAAGGAAAATATTGTTTTGGCTTTTGACCCAAAACCTGCTGGCAGTACAGTTTCTGAAATGGAATCAAGTCAAAATAAAAATACAGATTCTGAAATGAAAGAAAAATCTGAGGATGATACTGTTTCAGAAATTGAATTAAGTCTAAATAAAGATACAGATTCTGAAACAGAAGCCAAATCTAGATCTAGAGAACATACAGTTTCTGAAATGGAATCAAGTCTAAATGAAAATACAGATTCTGAAATGAAAGAAAAGTCTGAGGAGCATACTGTTTCAGAAATTGAATTAAGTCTAAATAAAGATACAGATTCTGAAACAGAAGCCAAATCTGAGGAACATACAGTTTCTGAAATGGAATTAAGTCTAAATAAAGATACAGATTCTGAAACAGAAGCCAAATCTGAAGAACATACAGTTTCTGAAATGGAAGAGGGAAGTGATGAAAAGGTAGTTTCTGGTAAAGAACCAAAATCTGATGAAAGTACAGTTTCTGAGATGGAACCAAATCTAGATGACAATACATTTTCTGAAATGGAAACAGACTTTGAAACACCAAAGGAACCTTTTTCAGTGGAGGAAAGTAGAGAAATGGTAGGTTTAACTTTAAATCACTAATATTTCCCTATTGTTTTTATATTTTTGTTTCTTAAAACTGACAAATATCCCATATCAAATATTTGGTTTGGTTTGGTTGGTTTGTGCTTTACATCCTATGAACAGCTATGGTCATATAATGATTAGCCAGGTTTTTGGTGTTAAATGAAAACCGGAGTACCTGAAGAAAAAACAAGGACCTGCGATTAGTGCCTGGCAATTAACCCATGTATGACCGAGCCTGTGACAGAGTGGTGGAGGGCTAGTGATTGTAGATGGTCAGATGCCTTAACCACTCGGCTACTGCAGTCGCTTTATCAAATAACATTGACGATACAAGGAGGTATGGAAGAAATTCAAGACCTATATCCTTATACTTAAAAATATTATAAAACGTGAATTAAAACAAAGGTCTGGGATCTTGATTTCGTATTTATAATCTGGAGTACCAAAATTAAGGTTCTGTGTAGGTAGATGTGGCGTATGACTTTTAGCAATCCTGGCACACATATGTCGTCTGTGTGTTTAGTATCCAGCTTTAACTTTTTCTTTAATGACTTCTTCTTCAAAACCATGAAGTTATGGATTCTTGATATTTAGCTCATAGCTCCCTGATTGCCATAGAGGGCAATACAATCTTTTAATTTGAGAAATTGTATGTAATTAATGAAAGAGCAAGAGACCTACATGCATGATTAGTCTGGAACTTGCTGGCTATAAATATTAAACCAGAACATGCAAGGTCTGGTGTCAAATATGAGCACACGTACCTTAACTTATTCCTTTTTTTATGACATTATACAAATGTAGGACAGTATATGGGTTTCCATTCAACACATCCTGGAAATGATTCAGCTTCCATGATAAATATTGTACATATGTAGTTTTCTCTTATTACATCTATTTGATACAAACGGTTCTAATTACGACCCTATGTTTTACAATGAATCAGTTACAAACTACATGGTATGTGACAGTTTCTCCTACCCTGGACATGCATGTCCTCACTTCTCCTGTGTGGAAAAGATCAGCTTGTCAGCCTCTAGGGCATCCTCGATATCCAGGGGCTATGTTCACTTTCGCTTTCTGCTCCCCTGGAATATGTCATAGCAAAATTGAAGGCACAAAGATAGCTGTTTGATTGGTCTCAGGTAAACAACACTGACCAATTGCTAGGCTAATACCTGTCTTTTAAAGATTACAGAGGAGAGACGCCCGACATCAAAGCCTGTCAATTTTTACCATTATGTGACCACAAGATTCTTTTGATGTACATCAAAGGATCGATCTAGCCTTCTTGTCTCATCAACAGGCTGGCGTACACTGAGCCTTCAATTTTGCTATGACATATTCCAGGGGTGCAGAGAAAGTGGATGCCTCTAGGGGGAGATAGCCTCGTGCAGAAAGGCCCAATGGAAGTCATAACAATTTGACAGTAGCAGACCATGGGCGACAAGTTTGGATTTGCTGGATAAACATGCAATCACTGCTTGTGTTTAAGATTGGAGAAAAACAATCATCCCCTACCTTGAGGGTGTGACAGAGAAAAGTCCTACCCTCAGTATGATATTCTGGAACATCTTACAGCAGAGCGTCGCGTAAGACAATCAAAAACATCATCCCTCGGATTCTATTAGTCTCACCCTGGGGTCGAGATGGGGATTTCCCAGTCAAAACAATTGTATTAGATCGCATCAACAAGACATTGAGCCAGTAATCTCAATATTTCATGTATATGAAAAGATCCAAAGGGAAAGAGAAAAAAAGAATCATTCACCCCTGGAAGTGAGATGGATAATCTCAACCCTCAATGAAAGATTCATAAGTTTGAAAACACTAGGCAAGTTCATATTTTCCTATCTCACCCTCAAGGGTTTACAAAATTCTATAAATCTTGTTTTGCCCTTTGCAACTTCACTTGTATCATTTTTTCTTGTTTATTTATAATTTTCATGATAGCTGGCTAATTACACTGCCACAAATTATCTGTTCATCGATCAGGTCACAGTCAGTATATCTGGTATTGTTTTGATTACAGGTAAGCAAGCCTTCATCTCCAGAACTTATGGAGGAGGAGGAGGAGGAGGAAGATTTTCATCCAAAGGTTAAGGATAATATCAGTGGGAAAAATCAGCCAGTCCAGGCGACTAAGACATTTGGAGTTCCCCTTGAGGAGCTAGTGGACAGAGCCCCTCCTGGATCAACTGTACCCGTCTTTGTGTCCAAGGTGTTGGATTACATCATCAGCAGAGGTATAGTGATAAATGCTGGTACATATATAATATTCTCTCATTTCCGTGCGTGTAAGAGATGGAGCATTCAGGGTAAGAACGGGGTGTAGGAGATTTCTAACTTACACCCCATTTCACGTGATATGTTGACACAATGGCTGAACAATGACGTGACGTGAGATTTGGAAAACTTTGATGCCGCAATGCGGAAAAGGTGACGTGATGACATTAAAACCTTTTCCGACACATTGATTGAACTCTTAAGAAAGATGAAGTTATTTACTGCGTTAACTTTGTTTTCGGGGAAATTTTTGTATTTTCAAAATGGTATTCAGTCCAAACGTTTCTGACCTTATCCTGGTAGTTGTAATGAGAGCAGAGTACTCCTTCATGCCCAAAGGTGTAGGATAGGGAAATCCCAGCCTTGGGATCCCAGCCTTGGGATTTTCAAATTTGGCAAAACCCTCAGAAAAGCCTCTGGTTTTACCAAATTTAAAAACTCCTCGGGTAGAATTTCCCTATCCTACACTGGGCTTGAAAGAATCTTATAATAAGTATGTATCGTATAACTGGATTTTTAAGTTAGGATGATATTTTCGTGATTTTGCGGTTCAATAGTTGTAATCGTGAAAATATGATCTGCTGAAAAATGTGATGGTTTTGTTTGTGGGTCATTAAAGTGATATTTGAGGTTTGATTTGTCTGAAACGTGTTGAACTGGAACTTCAATGTAGACGACATCTGCAGAATGAGGGCGCGCCCGGCAGATATGGGTTGGTCAGAGATATGGCCTATATATATACACATCTAAGGCAGTATCACACATGCTAAACAACCCATATATGTATGGACAAGTGTATGATAAAAGTTAATAAAACTTGTATCGGAATTGTTGGGAAATAAATAAAATGTGTAGTTGTTAATTAAGTGTATTATATGTATATGTCTGTGTGTTCAAATGAAAGGTTCGTTATTCAAAGATTGACAAACAAAAAATTGACCAATCATAGGACCGTAAATGATCATTGCAATTAACAATAGATTGTGTCTTAATGATGATATTAATTAATTCAATATTAATTATAAAAATCCTTTGAAATTTTGTTGTAAATATTATATATTTTATGTCGACCACATGTGAGATGAGTCCTTGACTCAATGTGTTATCAAATTTAAATAAAGTCTATTATTATTATTATTATTTAAATATAAGTGTATAATATTTTCTATATACAGGGTACAATGAACACCTGTTTGTCAGAAAGGGACCGAAACATGTGGTAGAGAAGCTGAAGAGTTCCTTTGATACTTATGGTGATGCTGAGCTAGAACAGGATACAGACATCTTAGCAATCGGACAGTTACTTAAAGAGTTTCTTCAGGAGCTTCCGAAACCTATCTTTCCAGCTGAAGTTATTCCGGACTTGGAACAGCCCGTGGACGATGGTTAATAAATATAAACTTCTTTTTACTTTACAACAGTTATGAAACAAGTTATATGACCTATATAAATCACGATGGTAACGATATTACTTAAATATTTTGTAAATAACAGACTAATAAAACTATGTCTTTTTAGTTGTCGGGGAATAGACAAAAATAATAATATACAGGATGAAGTATAATATATAAAATTATCAGGTTTTCCTCATAAAAATTTAACAAGCTTTAGTTAGCTAAACATCATGACAACATAACACTACTGATTGGAGAGTCTTTCTTGTTATTAGTTAGTAACTTGATTGAACACCCATGCTAACCATTTGTCTAATTCCTGGACAATTACGAAGACATACTATTCTCTTACCCTGGACAGGTGCATCCGCACTTTAACCGGTGTGAGATTTCCTTGTCTAACGTTAACCCTAGGGTCCTTGACTCAGGATTCCCCTATTCATTACAATGGCTTGACGTCACTTCAACAATACAATGACGTCACGTCAACAATCCATCAACGTCACGTCAACCCTGAATTTAGCATGTAACATTATCATTATGATACACAATGGGAGAACAGGGTAAGAGAAAAAGAATCATTCACCCCCTTGTGGGTGAGAGATTCTATTAGTCTTATTTGTCTGTTATTTACACGAAAAATAAGTAATTGCTTTATTTGTTTGTTCATTACAAGTTAATTAAGTGGTGTAATTTGTCTATGTTTCTATTATCTACAAATTAATTACGAATAATTTTATTTGTTATCAGATGATGAGTTGGGAGGAGGCTATCATCTAGCTACGGCTATGCTGGTCCTACCCCAAAGTCACTGGCATCTCCTGCAGTTCCTGTCTAAGTCCATACAGCACATCGTCATGCCAGGGCAGTCCCTGTCAACGATAGCTGGGGCCATTGTTCCTGTCCTGACAAGGTCAGTGTTTGTCTCTGTAACAGTCTTAGTTCAATTTATCATTGAGCCTCTTACACCAGTTAATGTTATAAGTCCTGTGCTGATACTAAGACAGGAGACGTTTAGGTTCGAACATCTTCTTCCCGTCTCTCTGTCAGTCTTTTTCATAATAATAATAGTAATTTGAGGTTCTTATATATATGGCTTTATCACAATCTAGTTTGTAGGTTGTCTCAAAGCGGTTCACAAATTATTATCCGTGGTTATAGGGTCATTGCAACCAGCCAACAAATTTCTCTACTCCCTGGGTAGCATACAGCTGGTGCTGCCATTTCTGCGCTCACAGCTAGCATTCAACAATTCTAGCACTGCCCAACCACATACTCATTTACAGCTGAGTAGACTGGAACAAGCAGAGTAAAGTATATTGTTCAAAGATACAACACAGTGCCGTGCTGTGACTCAAACCTGAAACCCGGGCCATCAGTCATGAGCCCATGCAGCATCCTACCACTAGACAATGTCACATTGCCATGGGCATATTTCATATACTGATTGAGTCTACTTTTGCGAATTCTGTATGCGAGTACCTATTGGTACAGTAGAGTTTGGCATACATGCTATGATGCCCCTCTAATAAAGGAGTGTGGGCCTTAGTTCACTGTGCATCCAAGTGCTTTGTCTGGGCATGCATAATATGCTGTTGTCACATACAGCCAACGTGTATGAGAGTACCTATTGGTATGGTAGAGTTTGGCATACATGCTATGATGCCCCTCTAATAAAGGATTGTGGGCCTTAGTTCACTGTGCATCCAAGTGCTTTGTCTGGGCATGTATAATATACTTTTGTCACATACAGCTGACGTGTATGAGAGTACCTATTGGTATGGTAGAGCTTGACATATATATATACATGGATATATACAGGCCTTTTTTAGGACCAAATATGGGTAAATTCCCCTCTCCAATTTTGGCATTTTTTCCCCTATTTCAGTTGAAAATCACCCTATTTGTAACTAAAATACTACCACATGAAGGTATCTGTCTGGGTTCTATTTGTTTTTACTTTTCATCGGTTCGACATTTTCCCTGTGTAAATGTTGTTATTGCCAATATTTTGCAACACTGTTTACACTGGTCAATTTGAAGCATCTATAATGAACAAATCAAAAATTAGAAATGCCATTCATGC